CCGGGATGTCTGGGCGTTGGAAGAAAGGGGCGGGGAGGGGGCGGCCGCTCCCCCGCTGGCGGCTTCACAGGCGCCCAGGGTGCGGACCCTCCGAGCTGAGGAAATGGTGGCGGTGACGGAGGCCTGCTTCCCGTGTCCGCGCAGACGCACCTGTGCGTGCTGTGGAGCGCCGGCTGCCTGGGCTTGGCCTACTACGACACCGGCGACTCGGCCGTGCACTTCATGCCCGACGCCCCGGACCGCGAGAGCCTGCAGCTCCTGCAGAGAGGTGGGCGGGCCGCGCTCTCCCGGGTCCGCAGTGCTCCCGGCCTCGGTCGGGTTGATCCGTTGACTTCGGAGGGCGGTCTGTCGCTTTTAAGACTCCATTTCATGATTCAGCAGATATTTATGAGGTGTCTGCAAGGTGTCAGCTGCGGGGATGCAGTCCTGGCAAACCAGTCACGCCTGTCCTCTGGGGTTCATACTCCTGGGCTCCCCCTTCCCCCACCTCACCGTCTGCTACCCGCGCTTCCTCGCCCTCATGCCTGACTCCCGACGAGGCTCCCAGCTGGTGGGCTCTCCCTGCTCTTAGAGGAAATGCGCTTCTGAGGTGGAGAGGGAGACAGCAAGGAGAGGAATTAGGAAATACAGATCCTGTCACTCATTTGGTCTGTGTTTCCTTCCAAGTCCTGGATGAAATCAGCCCCCGGTCTGTTGTTACCAGTGCCAAACAGGATGAGAATATGACTCGGTTCCTGGGGAAGCTTGGTAAGGACTGGGTAAGGCTGAGAAGGAAGACGAGGAAGGACTGAAGTGTGGGATATTACAGGAGATGAAAGGGTCTCGGAAGGAGGTAGAGTCAGGGTGAGAGAAGGGAGAGGCAGAAAGACTGAAATGTACAGGCTAACGGCCCTTTCTTTGCCTCCCTCACAGCCTCACAGGAACACGGAGAGCCTAAGAGACCTGAAATCATATTTCTGCCAAGTGTGGATTTCGGTATCTCCTTTTGCGTTGCTCATTTCCGCATCCCAGTTTTCCAACCCTTTCTCCTAATTCCGCCCCATCATCAGAGGTCTCTCCTTGGCCCTATCTCACCTGAACTGCTGTGTCCTCCAAGCGCCATGACCAGTCTCCTCAGGATCTCTCCTGCTCCCCACCCTTCAATAACCTGCACCTGCTATGAAACCTCCGCTTCGGTGTGTCTAGGGATGCGGGCCGCACCTGAGAAGAGAGTGGTGACACTGTTTGGAATTGGGATCCCCCCCCCCCCCTTTAAGCCAAAGCTTTTGTTTGGGTGGGAGGGAAGCTACTGCCTCAATGACCTTGATGATCCCTAAGGCACGTCCATAACCTTCCCTGATTTGCAAAAAAGACGGAATGTTCTCTCCTAATTAGATGTTAACACATTAGTCTTATATGATCTTTTTCACCAAAAAAACCCCAATTCCAGACAGATTTCTTAGGCTGTGACCTCAAGCCAAACATCTTTATATTTTATACATAGAAATAATTAGACCAAGGGTCTGAAAATTCGGTTCTTGTTTCAGTTTTCCATTAACTGCCTGTGTAAACTTGGCAAATCAGATCATCTGTCTTCTATTTTCTTTCTTAAAATAGAGTGAAAAATTGGATCATAAGACCTTTCTCTTTCCAAAATAGGTCTGGAGATAAGCAAACAGCGCCTCCTTTCTGGAAACTACTCTTTTATCCCAGACTCCATGACCACCACTGAGAAAATTCTCTTCCTCTCCTCCATAATTCCCTTTGATTGCCTTCTCATGGTGAGAGGGGTTCTGGGAAGTCAGGGCTGGGATGCCACAGGTTGGAGAAAGGCAAAAGCACCCCAGTCCTTGGGTTGAGTCCTGGGAGTTTCTAGCCCAGCCCTGGAAAATAATAGCTTCCCCTGGTATTGTCCAGCCTTCAAGACATTGGGATTTACCCCAGCTCCACCCTTTAAAAAAAGTTTTTAATTGATTTCAGAGAAAGGGAGAGAGATAGAGAATCATTGATCAGCTGCCTCACGCCCCCCACTGGGGGTCCAGCCCAACCTAGGCATGTGCCCTGACCAGGAATCTCACCAGTGATCTCCTGGGTCATGGGTCACTGCTCAACTACTGAGCCACACCGGTCGGGCCCCCAGCTCCACTCTTGATCCTCTTTCAGGTTCGAGCACTTGGAGGGCTGCTCAAGTTCCTGGGTCGAAGAAGAATCGGGGTTGAACTGGAAGACTATAACGTCAGCGTTCCCATCCTGGGCTTTAAGAAATTTGTGCTGTAGGTGATTTACCCTTACCTCAGCCAAAGTAAGATGGGAAGTCTGAATAGTAACAGGGTGGAGTGGGAGGTAGTGATGCAGGGGTGGGCAGTGTCCTATCAGGTAAAGTTCTCTAGGACACACTGGAGCACCTGAGGGGATGTATAGCTCCGGGGACAAGCCTGAGACAGTATTCTGGAAGGTGGGGCAAAGGGGATGAAACTGAGAAATGAACTCCGACCTCATACCCCAGCACCTTGCCTTCTGCTTATTTTTTGCCTTCAGGACCCATCTAGTGAGCATAGATCAAGATACTTACAGGTAAGGAGATGGAGGCAGGCTGTCATCTCTGGGAAGGGAGAAGGATTAAGCTTACTGCTCTAATAATCCTAATGAGGCTCCAGTTTTTTAATCCTGGGGCTATTGGGATAAACCTCCATGAAGGAAAAAGAAGTGGGAATTACTAGGAGAGAAGAAGAAAAGCATGAAGGTGTCACTCTTCTTTTCTGAAGAGAGAAACTGAGGCAGAGAGAAGTGAAGGACAAAACTTAACATCAAGACTTGATCTCAGCAGGATGTTCTCAACCCCTTCTATTTTCTCAATTCCCTTTAAAAATCCAGCCCAAGCTGGTTTGACTCAGTGGAGAAGGTTGGCCTGAGGACCAAAGGGTCCCGGGTTTAATTCCAGTCAAGGGCGTGTACCTCTGTTGCAGGCTCCTCCCTAGCCTGGGCCCTGGTTGGGGCATGTGCAGGAGGCAACCAATGGATGTGTTTCTCTCACATCGATGTCTCTCTCTCTGTCTCTCCCCCTCCCTTCTACTCTCTGAAAATCAACAGAAAAATATCCTCCGGTGAGGATCTTTTTTTTTTTTTAAACCAATTAACCAGCCTAAAATAACCCTTATGCCAAATAGCCATATTTGGGGGCAACAAATTCTGTTCCCCTACAGCTGTTACGCTAC